AAAAAAAAAAAAAAAAAAAGAAAGAAAAAAGAAAGTAGAACAGCTTGAACATTTAAAATTTAACTTTCATAATAAACATGTTTTTCTAAATAGATAATCTAATGTTGAATATTTAAAATAGGAGAAACAATATAAATGCAGAAATGGATTTTATTCAGAAGTGAGTGTAAGAACACATTAATGCCAGGAAAAATAAGACAACCAACTTCCCTCCCTAAATCAGAGGACCAGAAATATCCTGGCCTTAGAAAACCATCTTCCAAATGGATTTTAAATGTTTTATTTAATAAACTTCTAAAAAAAATTATCTCAGTCTTTAAAGTGATGAGCTTTTATTTTACTGCATAGCAATTAGTGTTTTGGCAGGATCATAGGTTAATAGAAAAGGGTCAGAAAGTGTGAATACAGAAAGTGAGGGTGCTGAGTTTGTTATTTCTCTCTCAAGAGAGGTGGGGGAAGTAAAATAACAAACAGAACATAAAGAAACAAACAAGCCAAAAGAAAATGGGCATTTATCATTCTCTTCTTACTAATGCATTTCCTTACATTTATTTTGGCACACAAATATTTTTTTCTATTTATTTCTTTCTTACCACATGAAAAAGACCCTCTATTTCAATTCTACACAAGTTCAGCCCCACGTAAAGACATGACGTTTCATTTGATTACACAAGCATGGACTCAGGCTTCAGCTTCTGCAAAACATGGTGCAGGACGCTTACTACGGACAACTTTTACTATAGAACAGAACACAATGTACGGTCTTTAATCCTCACCCAGACGCGCTTAGTTACGGAAACATCCATAGACACCTCTATTAAAAAAACCCACAAGGCTGGGACCATGTCTGGACTTACTAAGGGGCTGTCCGTCTGGTGACCCCTATTCTTTACAGGTGGGTACAGGGTTCACTCCACCTGTGGGCAGCTCTAACTTCACACTGGAAATGGCTCCATGCAGATACCAAGCAACGAAGCACAGGAAGATGGGGAAACAGAGTAGACCAGCCAAATATCCACGAGGAGTCCTGGTTCCCAAGGAGGGGAAAGAAGCAGCATCCAAGCCCCCTTAACTTACGTCATTTCCTTTTCTCTCTCACAATTATGTATGTTAAATGATGCCTGGGAAAGACGCAAGAGGAATAACAAGAGTGGTAAGTGCTGGTAAGTGCTACTTGTGCTAAGCAGGTTTATATATGTTAACCTCTTTAACCTTTACAACCACCATCCTGGTGTGGGGGGTTGGTTAGTTCCATTCTACAGTTGAGGAAACTGAGGTATGAAGAAGGACTGCCATGGATTGTCCAGCTGATGGGTAAGACAGGCCTCCAGCCTGGGGATCACCTATGGGTCTGTGGTCCTGCAGCAGACAGTGAGCTCAGCTGAATGGGGCCAGTTCTTGTCATGACCAAAAGAATGTGTGTTTCCAGAACTGGCAGAAAACAAGTGGATCAAATGAGATGTTCCTATTCTCTCCCTCCACTGCTATTTTTATCCATGATTAAGTGCCTAAGTTATTACTCTTACCCTCAGACACAGTTCACAATTGCTGCAAAAGGGTATTAGGTGCCTGCCAGGCTGCAGGCACTCCCTGGCACTCAGACACCACGAACAAATGGACACGTGGGACATGACAGTGTGTCATCTGAGGACATCAAATCTGAGATTATGATCACTACACACATGGAGCCATGAACACTGATTGAATTTAAACCTCCCCAAATGAACCTCACTGAGCTGTGGACAGAAAACTAACCAGTAAATAATCAGGGAGCCTATTTCCTAATATGACTTCTTCTTTCCAGTCATTTCTCCCCCAGCAGGGGAGAAACAGTCATTGACTTCACTGGCTCTTAGTTCCCCAAAAAGACTGAAAAACGGTGCAAAAATATGGTGACTATAAAGTGGAAATTAGTAACAAAAGGAACAAGAAGATGGTGATACAATCCTTCCAGGAAGCAGAGGACAAATGGAAGGACCTCTAAGAGCTTTTCCATACAACTCTAATTTTAAAGGATCTCTGTCAACAAGACAGAGACCCAGTGTCTTCTCTTTCTGGGTAAAGTATGTAAGACTTAATTTTGATTTTGGTTCTAAATTTTAAACTTTCTACGTTCTCTCTCTCTTTTTAAAAATCAGATCTCTGAGATGTGACTTGTCGGGGCTGCAGGTGACTTCTCCATCATTAGTCATAGTGCACAAGGTGTCTGGGTCCTACAGCCCTCTTAGAGTCCTGCAAAAATGTTTAAATTTCTTTCAAAATCAGAGCAGCCAAGAAAGCATAAACTTTTAGAGTCAAAGATTACATACATCTTTATGACAAGGCAGTTGCAAACTGTAAAGAGGACTTTGACCTCTGAAGTCCTAATCTAGGTGGCGATCCTCAGTGGCTGGTGGTGTGTCTGCCCTCACTAGGTGGCTGAAGTTAGCAGGTGGGTTCTGCTCACCAGAGGAGGAATGTCAGCCTCAAACCATACAGCCCCACTGTGGAGAGTGAGCCAGAGGCCCAGACAGACAATGTCTTGAGACAGCCAGCTGCTGCTTGTGAGGCCTGTGACCCTAACCTTTGCAAAACCTGGGCCCAGTGAAAAACAAGAGACTCTTCAAGGAAGAGAACAGCCACCAGTTTATTCTGTATCTCCCTTTTGAATGTTAACTCTGAAGGAGTTTTAAGAACCTTGCATGAGGGTGTCATGGGAAGAACAGAAGAGTATTCACTAGAGGATGTGCGAGCTTACAGGCCATGGTCTTCCCCACCTTGCTACCTGCATCATGGGTTTTTCTTAAGTCAATGGAATAAAGAGACACCCTGAGACCTAGGATGACAGCTCTTCCTCTCTCCCAAGCCGCTCCCAGCAGACGGAGAGAGGAAGGAAGCGGGAAGGTACACGCGGAGGCCATGTTCTTCTGATTGAGTTGTTTTCAAACATTAGAATATAAAATAAAGAGACTAGTCTAAAATAAGCTAACTAAAACATTAAAACCATCATCAATCTCATTAAATATTCCTACTTATCCTAACCCCTCCTCCCTTTGTGGAAAAAAATGCCATATAGTACAAACTAAATAAGTATGTACTAAAATCCTTTGAATATTACTGAAAAGGTACTAAAATGCCTTTTAAAAGTGACTTTAAAAAGATAAAATAAAATTTACCATATATTGCACACTAAATGCAATGTACTAAAATGCCTTTAAAGCAAGAGATTTTTATTGTGGAATCATCCACTGTGATGATAATAGGTTCCTACCACTCTAAGCGTTTTACCCCTTCATTTTCCATGCATTTTCTGATAATTTCAGACGGATTCTAATTGCTAGGCCTATTAAATACCCATCACTTTTATTTCTTATGTGACAACTCCTTTGTTTCTTAGACGTTTTTCTAAGCAGTAACAGCTTATCTGTATTTTCTTTCTTTTCAACGTACTTTTTCTTTCTTTTGTTAAACAGTACTATTTGTATGCAGGTGATAAAGGACAGTCTAATGTAAAATATTGCCTATTTAATTTTTAAAAAATGATATTTTAGTGAAATGCTTTGAAGTCAGTAAGACCAAAGGTAGAAACCGATTTCCATCACCTCCTGCTGTTATTTTCAGTGGGAGAAGCTGAATGTCCCTCAGCCACCTTCTTCACATGCTGTCATCCAGACTTGGTGTGGCTTCTGGGTGTTGAGGATGTCACAGGTGTACCATAAATGACAGTAATTATCAGGAAAAATGAAATCCACATTTAGCTCTGATAAACATTTGACTACAGATGGATGTGTAGAGATAGATATATCGTTTTTCATGTATATATATATGTACACACAATTTTTATTCTTATCTACATACATCGTCATACTCCATTTTACTACGAGGTGTGAAAGGAATAAATAGGCAATTATAATCATTTTAAACATCCATAGAACTAATAAAATACCCTTACACTGTATAAAGCAAAGATTTACAAAAGCAAATTAATTACTAACAGCAGACAATTTCAATCCTCCACTTGCTATTGATAGGCCAAGCAAATAAAAAAGCAAGCAAGAAAAGATGTAGAAGATTTGAACGTAATAATTAGTGATCTTGTCCTAACTGAAAAATACAGAAGTCCACACACAACCATTAGATGGAACAATAGTCTTCTGAAGTGCATGTGGAATATTTATAAAAGTCATGTGTCAGGGAAACTGCAAAGATTTCAAAGAAGAGGTATCACACAGACCCATGTTCTTTGATCAAAGCATAATTTATCTTAAAAGTTTGTAACAAAACCATCTCATGCCAGTTAGAATGGCAATCATTAAAAAATCTGGAGACAACATATGCTGGAGAGGATGTGGAGAAATAAGAACGCTCTTATGCTGTTGGTGGGAGTGTAAATTAGTTCAACCATTGTGGAAGACATGTGGCAATTCCTCAAGGATCTAGAAATAGAAATTCCATTTGACCCAGCAATCCCATTACTGGGTATACACCCAAAGGACTATAAATCGCTCTATTATAAAGACACATGCACACATATCTTCGTTGTGGCGCTGTTTACAATAGCAAAGACCTGGAACC